GCAGCGGCTCAGTCCGCCTTGGCGTACTTCGCGTTGGGGTTTGGAGGTGCCGTGTGGTCCACGTCCCCGCCGATACAGGTAGGGGGAGGGGAGGGGAGACAGGGGGGCGGCGAGCGGCGAGGTGAGGCCGGAGGGGAGGCAGGCAGGCTGCATCGTGCGAGCTATTGGTTTCCTCTGTGAGGGCCCTTGGGCCTGGGATCTGCCCTCAGTTTTCCCTTCGCCGTGGCGGCGGTGGGGAGGTCGCGCAGTGCCAGCCGCGCAGTCCCAACCGTCGGTAGGGGTGAGGCGGTGGTGGGGGGAAGGTTTGTTCTAGAAACAAAATGGCGGCTGCACTCGCTCGGCGCAAAATGGCGGCGGGGACACGCGAGCCGCAGTGCGCATGTGCCAAGTGGGCGGGACCAGGAGGGCGGGGCTGTGGCTTGGCTACGTACAACGCGCATGCGCCTGCGGGGGAGCGGTGCTGCGCACGCGCACAAGACGGTACGCTCTGCCTGGAGGCTGGGATCCAGGTTGGGTTTTGGGGACCTGCTCTGTATAGCTGGGTCAGGTGCTGCGAAGGGAAGACCAGGGTGCTCTGTCACCTTACATTAGACTTGGAGCCTGAACAGCATGGGATGAAGTCAGGAGCTGCTTGGACTGCTGAGGCATGAGGATCTCTGGGATCCCTGCTTCCATCAGAGGCGTGCTTTAGGAGTGCGTAGGTCTCGTGATCGGGGATCCTGGCTTTCTCTAATGTGTTTAAAAAAAAAAAAAGCCACCCCAATTTTTGGTTTAAAAAACCCAAAATCCAATTTTTTCCACAATTAAAAGGAAACGCTGCTATGTATCTGTCTATATTCTAGTGCTGCTTTGTTTTAATAGCAGAAAAATGTGGATTTGGGGTTCCTCTTTTAAATCCAAAAGCTGGGGATTTGTTTTAATCTGAGAAAATTGGGGTCTGGTTATAATGCCTCATTTGATTGGCCCTGGGTGGCTTTTTAACTTTCTTTTAAGGAAAACATGGTTATAGAAATCTTATTATTTCACTTGTAAATGGGCAGTCATCCTGCCAAGTGCATAACACTTGTAAATAAAGCTTGTGAATAGATTTGTAATTCAGCTTTACCTCTTTATGAATCAGAGGTAACAGCTTGATGCTGGGGTCATGGTAGAGAGGTAGTTTTAGATTAAAGTCAGTTACCCCTTCTAGATAAATCTCCAGTGCAGATGAATAGGCTTCCTTGAGCCTGTGTTCGCTTTCTCAGATGAGAGCTAATCTCTCTGTGGGGGGGAGGGCATGTAGAGCCTGCCAGAACCTAACTTGTGATATGCCTTGGAGGTTGGTTGACACTTTTTTTTTCTCTGCAGATCAAAATGGCATCAGATGAGGGAAAGCTTTTTGTTGGTGGACTGAGTTTCGACACTAATGAACAGTCGTTGGAACAAGTGTTTTCCAAATACGGACAGATATCTGAAGGTAAGATTAAAACTATAAAACTGCAGACTGAGAACTTTTATGTTTTCTATAGTGTAACAGGTTTGTGCAATGTAATTTTTTTTCCCCCTTTTTCAGTTGTGGTGGTGAAAGACAGAGAAACCCAAAGATCAAGAGGCTTTGGGTTCGTCACCTTTGAGAACATAGATGATGCTAAAGATGCGATGATGGCTATGAATGGGAAGGTAAATAGATTTGTCCTTTTTCCCTGACACAGGGTGGAGGCAGCTTTTGGAAGGCCTGCATCCTGTGTTCCTGCTTTTTTTTATTGTTTTTAAGCTATTAACCATTTTGTATTTAAATGGTCTTGTAAAATGTGAATTTGGAATTACATTAGATTGAAGAACTAAATATTACTGCAGGTGTGAAAACAAATGTGCAAGTTGTACATGAATCCTGCTTGCTTTCCAAGAAGTATCTTGGCTTTTTTTAACTTGATGGCAGTTGGCTGGCTACTTTGTGTGAAAGGAGCCATCTGTTGATAAAAATAATAGATTATTTAGCAGTTGATGCCTTCAGAGTGTGTTGCAAGACATTGAAGTACTGATTTGGGGTTTTTCTATTTTCAGTCTGTTGATGGGCGCCAGATCAGAGTGGACCAGGCTGGTAAATCATCTGAAAACAGATCTCGAGGATACAGAGGGGGTTCAGCTGGAGGCAGAGGCTTTTTCCGTGGAGGCAGAGGTCGGGGCCGTGGTTTTTCTAGGGGTGAGTCAGTATTGCTGACTTGCAGCAACTGACTTTGTTCAGTGCCGAGTTCAAGGTACTAATACTACTTTTTGCATGTTTTCAAGGAGGTGGAGACAGAGGCTATGGTGGAAGCAGATTTGACTCCAGAAGTGGGGGATACAGTGGCTCCAGAGATTATTACAGCAGCAGGTAAGTGCATGTGGAATGCCACAACTGTCCTAAGCACATGTGACATTAACTTCAGTGGGGATGTAAACTTACTCCAGACAAAATAACACAGTGGCTTTAATATGCAACAGTTCAGGTGACTCTTAAAAAACAGGTGCTTGTTTTTCAATCAGCAGGAGTCAAGGTGGATATGGTGACAGATCTTCAGGAGGCTCCTATAGAGACAGCTATGACAGTTATGGTAAGTCTTAGTTCAAAAGGGAATGAATGGAAAGTACATTGCTGTAGGAACTCGACCTTCTGACCTCATATTGAAGTCTGGAAATACTGTAAGGCTCAGTTCGGCGCATATCGCTATTTTTGTTCTTGCCCATAAGAACCAGTCTATTTGTCAGGCCTTGGATGCGGTGTGCCATTTTAAGTTCCTAATCGTAATGCATGTGTAGGACTTGGCTAGGATCTAAGGCAAAGCAAGTATTAAATGCTCACCTTCCTCAAACTGGAGAAAACGGCAAAACCAATGCCCTAACAAGCATTATCAAGGGTGGGGGAAATTCTCTTTAAAACATAATGAAGTAGCACTAGCCTCTGAAATAATACAAGGGAGTGAAATGCTGGAACTTGTCTATGCTTCAGTGCCTTTACAATTGTGCCTGCTTCTTGTCCTCAGCTACACACAACGAGTAAAAATCCTTCCTGACTCAAGATCGTCCTTCCAATGGCTGTATTTATAAAGATTTTTGGAGCTTCGCTGAAATCGTTATTGTGTAGTACATCTACTTGTATTTCCACTTTTGTAGTATTATCAGTTCTGATCTTGTCAAAACACAGCCTGACAGCTTCTGCTATGAGATGGTCTAATTAGACTTTTCTTTAAGAAAGCTCTGCTTTCAAGTGTTTTTAATCTTTTTTTGAAAGCACTTCAGATTTTATTTTCTTTTGTGATGAGCCAAGGTTACTTTTTTTTTTATAAAGTTGTGAAGTTGGGGCCCCAATTCAGTTTCTTTTGCTAGAAAGGACCTTTAATTCAATGTTCACTAGAAGCTGAACAAGCTGTGGACTTTTTTTAAAGTGCATTACCTTCGTCTCTTGTAACATTCCTTTAGTGTAGCAAGGTAGGAATGCAGCCTGGGTACAAATGGGAAGGCAAACCACCTTGATATATCTAAAGAGAACTTGCTTGTATGTTCAACCTGCATAACGGTATTTTTACTGTATGATGTAAATTACCCAGAAATAGACTTGCAAAACTTACCATAAAAAGAGGTTCTTGAAAATGTTTATTTATATTGTCCTTTTTTACTGGAAGAAATATGCATATTCCATTGATATTGTATTTGAAGTGGTAAAGGATTCTTGTATACAGTTTTCTTTGGCTTTACGAAGCCTATTAAAAGACCGTCTGAAATGAACTCTGCTCCTGACATTTACATTTCATTGCACAACACAATCCTTGAAGATCCAGAACCAAGCTTAAGTAATGGAGAGGACACCAGAGAAGAGTTAGTGATAGGAGGAGGAGGAGTAGTAGAGCAAGCCAGTCTTATTGTCCAGTGGAAAGAAGGTAATCTTACCAGTCTTGACACGTGCAATTATGCTGACAGAATTCACATAAGAGTCAAACCTCTGTAGAGGGAGACTACTACAAGCGAGCCCAAGGGTATTCTTCAAGGGCAAAAGAGAGGTGAGAGAGGAGGGAAATTTTTTAGCTGCTTTAGCTCAGTCAGGGAAGATGTAATATGTAGACATGGAAAAGTTGTTAAGAATAAGTCCTTCAGTATTGGACTTACTTGTTAGTAATTTAACACAGTGTTCCAAGGTAGGTAAATTGACGTGACTAGCTAGCTTTGTCATTGCCTTACAAGTTCTAAGAATTCTCTGCTAGCATATGGAAACTGCAGTGTCCTTGGAGAAAAGAAGTGTTGTGCCTCCAACAGAAACCTCTGAGACGAAAGCTGCTCTCTTGGCTAGTTCATATGTGGAAATAGTCCTGTAATTCGAGGTAACTCCTTTTGCTCATGTCCGCATCCTTCCTCTTGTTGAGAGCTCATTTTGAAAGTCTAATGTACCTGTGAAATAGTCCTTTGACAATTTTGGTCAACTGACGGAAATTTTTTTAAAAAAAAAGAACCCATGCCTCTTGCAATCTTTGGCTTGTGGCACAACTTCAGTTCCACAGATCAGAGTTGGGCATGCAATCATGTCTTGCTAGTAGGTATGGAAGCAAGATGGGGAGCAGAATTCCCTGACTTGGTTTTTGTGCTCATCTATTGAGAATCTTCCTAGACTTCATTAAGTTGCTCACTTAATTGTAGCTTTCTCTGCCATCCTACTTGTTGCCATTAACTTTTTCCCATAGCCCACACCTATTCCTAAGCAACCATGTCAAAGTGGTTAATTGTCTCTGCTTAGAGATCCAATGATATATTGGCTGGTATATCAAAGGCATCAGCCAGCCCTGGAACAGTTTTCCCAGACTTTGCTTCTGTGATGTGATGGGTTCAGCGAATGGCTTGTGAAACCCTCGTATATGATGTGACTTGTGTTTGGGAGGTGGGTGGCAGTATAAAATCACTGCTTGGATATGGTTAGTAATGCACACTTTATTTGGCAGGTTGAAGAGAAGAAGAATGCTTGAGCCTGATGTTACAGAGCAGTGAGCATTCCGTGAAAGCAGAATTGGCCATCTGTTTTTCCCCTAAGCAGGTAACTATTATGATGCAGGAAATGACTGAAATAAAGGGGGGGGAAGCTGTTGGAGAAACTTGGTATTTTAGGTTTGGCACTCTTTAAATGGAGTTGTCCAATAACTGCATATTTGTAACTGCTGCTGTGCACTGAGAAATAGCCAATTATACACCAAGTCTCTTAACTAAAAATGTTTGCAGCATTTGTACAATACATGTATTTGAATTAAGGATCAGCAACACCTAAGTGTCAATCTCTTTTTGTTTCAGCAGTGAACTGCATTGAGGAAGAGCAAGGACAGCTGTTGACTGAAGTGGAGTTAAGAGTGTTGGGCAATGTAATAGTTGATCGACTGAACAGTCTGACTTATGGGTTTAATGATGGCTAGAATAAACATTAGAATGTGAAAAAACTGAATCCTTGTAACTTTGTACACATACCTTGAGAATGATGGATGCATTTTAATGCAGGTATTGGGTTATCTGAAATAACAGCACAGTAGAAAGCTCTGCTTCCAAGGGAACAGCTGATGAGCAGAAGTCATCAACGCATTCTTAAAGAAGGCTTTGTGATTGATTGGGGTGGGGGTGAAAGCTGCTTTTTTTTTTTATGGAACTACTGGTACTTGAATAGAAGTACTGGGCTTGTAACTCAACACCATGAGCAAGGCAAATTAACAGATTTTTTTTTTTGTTTTTGGACAAGGCAAGTAAAATATATTGCAGATTCATATATGCAGAATTATTACTGTTGACTAAAGTTGTGATCCATATAAGCAGCTGAGTGCTTACTGATGACAAGTATATGGTCCTAAAGCTTCCCATCTAATGCTGGGTCTGCTTTATTGTCCAAATTTAAAAAAAAAAAAAAAAAAAAGGCTTGGAGCTTAATCCACTGCTGAGTAAACTTAGATTTTTTTCTGCTGTTTTTTGAATACTGAACAAATTTGGTAAAAATACAAAGTAAAACTTGTCACCCAAAGTGGTCTGGCATCCAAAAGCTTATGGAATAAGCTTCCAGAAAGCAGAAGCTGTTTTATCCCACAAATGTTTCTTACCCCCTGCCCCCCCCCCCCC